GGTCTGATGATTCATTCATTCATTGTGTTACAGTGACTCGGTCTGATGATTCATTCATTCATTGTGTTACAGTGACTCGGTCTGACGATTCATTCATTGTGTTACAGTGACTCGGTCTGACGATTCATTCATTGTGTTACAGTGACTCGGTCTGACGATTCATTCAGTCATTGTGTTACAGTGACTCGGTCTGACGATTCATTCAGTCATTGTGTTACAGTGACTCGGTCTGACGATTCATTCAGTCATTGTGTTACAGTGACTCAGTCTGACGATTCATTCAGTCGTTGTGTTACAGTGACTCAGTCTGACACTGCCCTCTGCCTAATGAACCCAAACCAAATGTAGAAACCTTATTAGTCCAGCTGTGATCCTCCTCTGTGACATGAAGACATCTTTCCTCTGTTACAGATCTGTCATGCATCATATCTCTGTTTCTTCATGACTCTTCTTCAGTGCCTGGCAGCAGGAGAGCATTTATTTGCTAATCAGGGCGTACACCACCTGAGGTGTTAACACATGGTAAACATGTACACACTGGCTCTGCGCTTCCAGCTTTTCATACTGAACCTATGTTTAGCAGACATTTCAAAGGCCATCTGTTTGTGGGAGAAAGTACACACCCCAGGGAAGCTTGGCTTTCCATAGCATGTCTTTTGTAAGGCTGCTGGACTTCCTGTGTGTTTCTGTCCGTAGGTGTTTATTACACACCACCGTACTGTGCCAGTATAAAGGTTTTAGTACATTTGTATAAATGTCTAACGTACTCTTCTGGTCACATTCTGACTGAGCTGACTCTGAATGAGTTAAAGGAAGTCATCCGCCAACTTTTACACCAGAGTTTTAAAATAATGATTAAGATAAACTAGATGTAGCTGTTTATYATATTACAAGAMGTCAAASTGGGTTGTGAATGACTCTCAGCTACTACCACACCAAACCTGAACTCAGTAACTGTACAACTGTCCAGATCATAACCATGTTGATGTTTGTCAGTTAGCTGTGGTGACCAGCTTCAATAGAGTTGGTCACACAAATGAATAACTTGTAGATTATTGTAGATTATTATTRCTGGAGGTCCCGTGGTTAATGCAGACACACACAGAGTTGATTAGAAAAGGTTTCAGGTAAAGATGATGTTGCTTTGTGAGTTGTGCTCCAAGTTTGTGTTGAGGATGACACCAAGTTTTTGCTTTTAATCACTAAAAATGAACAATCATTCATTGTGTTGGCTGATAGGGCTGGGTAAAAAAAAAATTAAACCCAATTTAATTTAAGTTTGGGAAAATCAATTCATAGGGCATGAGATCAATTTTTCCCCAGTGTTGTGTGTGATGAAGCTGAGYCACGTTTCAGTATGTTGTGTCACTCCTGGCTTGCCGTATGTTTACATCTGGTTGAGGTTCAGTGCTAACTTTAGCTTCTGACAACAAGTTGTTTGTGGCAAAACAGAATCACTAAGATTATCAGATGACTCTCTGCAGAACTTAATGATAACAGAGATCATGACGACTTTTGTTTGCAAAGATTTGTGCTTGTGTACGGCACGACAACGCAGGCTTCGAGCGGCTCGTTCAGGTGCTTCAACCAAATCTGCTGTTTTTAAACGTCTGACTGAAACTCTTCTCTCCAGTGTGTGTAAATGTGTGAACAAAATCATTTAGTTTTGTTACCGATATTATTAAACTTTAAGAAACGTTTTGATGAAATTCACAGTACAGTGTTGTAGTTGTGTCATTTATTTTCTTTTTTTAGTTTTAACAGCAGTTCAGGCTCGGACAGTTAATTTAAAACCTTTGAAACTGTGTTTCAAGATTAAACTGTCCAATTTAAAAGTTTGCCCTTTAAAACCTGTTGTTTGATGAGAAAAAAAATAAAGTGAATGTGTATTTTGCAACACAGTTGAACCATTTTCAATATTTAGAAGCAAATCAAATCAACTCAAAGTTAATCGAATCAGAAACTTATGAATGGAAATTAAATGGATTTAGAGAACTGGTCATGATACCGGGCCCTTGGCTGATGTCAGTTAGCTGTGGAGCTCATATTGCACAAATGTTTTTTTCCCAACATTTTGTAGGTATATGGACYCCATGTACCTAAATTTTTTCAAATCTTCAAAGTTCTCCACCCCATCCTCCTTTCCCTGCTCCTTTGCAGCAGCTTTTATCTCCACACCACGTTGTGTCTTTCCCTGTGTTCAACATCCTTCTCCCCTGACCCTGTTGTGTTGCYTATTTTTGAGGCTCAGTTTAAAAAGGTAAATGTACAAAGGGGTTGACATGCATGGTACTGAATTTGGTAAAACTAAATGAATAGTCAACACACAGTACATCCAATAATTACTTCCTGAGAATTTCACTAAAATATATTCAGCAATTTATGAGATATTTTGCTAACAGACTAGCAGGCAGCCAAGGTTGGCACAAATATTAAACATCATTGTCTGAAACAAAGGTATCATGCAACATGTCAAGCTCAGAGTARGTGCTGGAGATATTGTTCAGCTTCTAAATTATCTGTAAATCTTGCTGAATTATATTTATTTTGTGTATCCTGAGGTCAGCTGGCCACGGCAGCCTTCTTAAACTGGTTTGACTCTAAAATAAATCATGGATTTATATCCAATAGTTACTTTCTAATAACTTTATTAAAACCATCCAAAGGTTCTTGAGATATTTTGCCAACCAACAGACTCCAGTGTGTAATGACAAAGTTTGACAGCAACATGTTTTCTGTTTGGTTTAGTTAGGAGATGTGATGGGTATGACTCTCAGCTACAACCACACCAAACTCCAGCTCAGCACCTGTTAGCATGATGGACTTATACCTGTTTTCCTGTTTGATTTGTCTGACCAGCTGGTGGCCATCTTGAATAGGGTTGCTTAAAAATAACCAGTTTGAGATGTTTCCAACATCCATCCAACAGTTTGTTAGATATTTTGCTAACAGTACAGACAAACAAACAAACACTGGTAAAACATAACCGTCACTGTGCCTTTGATGGTAGATGATAAAAATCACAGGTCAAAGACCTTACCCCGGATTTACACTACTTGTGTTCTGTCTCCGCTGCGCTGCGCTGCGCTGCGCAGGTCGCAGCTGTGCGTTTCAGTTTACATTATCTCCACTCCGCTCCGGTCCGACAGACGTGCAGGAAGCAGATCATGTGATAAATTCAGTGATAAGTGTGGAAGCCACAGTAAAATATCATTAATTCAGTGAAAGATGAACTCCAAACACAGCTGAAAACAACAATATAAAAACTTTTGGTATCTATGTTGAAACTGTCTCACTGTCGTCTCTCTGAAACTTCTGATTTCAAAATAAAATCCACGTGTATCATGTGTGTACACATGTGCTTCATGCTACATGTTCCATCTGCTTCCCAAACAGAACCATACATTCTGACAGCATTTCTGTAGAAATATATTTGTATATTTATTAATATAGCTGCAATTTCCACATTATTCTGACAAATTATCCCGCCTTAAAGTGTCTTATTTTGAAAACACGGATGTTGTGCTCGTTTCTTTTCCTGTGGATGTGACGCAATCTTTAAAAATTGACTCCGGAGTTGCTCTGGCGTCCGGCAGAAATAGGTTCTGTTCTAATTTTGACAGATCTCCGTCTGCTCACCACCACCCTGCACAGCCCTGTGCAGCCGGTGTAAACACTSTCACTGGTTATAATGGGTGTGTGTTTGCTGCGGAGGTCGGACCGGAGCGGAGACGGAACACATGTAGTGTAAATTAGGGGCTAATCAAACAGTGTGGGAAAAAAAGAAATAAACTGTTGGACAAATGAATTGTTAGCGTTAGCATACCTGGCGTCTGGACAACGTCTCTCTGCGTTTAGCAGGCATCTCGTAGACCACCTGTTTCCAAAACTTAGAGGACAGCTCATTGCTTTTAGGACCTTTCCAACTGATGACAGATAACACCTTAAAATAGACAAACAATAGTCAAAATAAAAGAAACAAGTTCCTCTTTTTCTTACAACTAAACATACATTGTCAAATCATTCCTTTCTTTTCCACAAAGGAAGATAAACTGTGTACCTTGATGGTATGTTTGAGTGCTTCAACTTCTTGGTAGTTCATGACATTCTTCAGGTTTGCACACTCGATCATGATCACCTGGACAAACAGYAGACAGTGATCAATAAAGGACAATGTAAACACAGGGCTGTAACAGTAACCAAGAATTAATTAATGATTGATTAAAACTGTTTAAAATGTGAATCGATTCCTAAAAATGAATGAATGGTTTTGTTGTTGTTGTAAAACAGGAAGTCAAGTGTGCATTTTTACATTTAAAAGTACCAGAACGCCTCAACAGTTTGCACAATCATTACATTTCCAACAGTTTTTGAAAATACATGAGTATTACAGTAAAGTCACATGCACAGTCATGACGCCTGCTAAACAATCCTTGTTGTCCCCCGTCCTCTCAGGTGTCGACAACTTATCAGTGACAGGTTTTTGTTYTCTGGAGGACAGTAAGTGATAAACTTATAATACACTCTTTTATTAGACATTAAACTGTAAATAACTGTTTTTAATTGCAGAAAGTTAAAAAATAGAAATACACACTCACACTTTAATTAATGATCTTTTTATATTTAAAATAAGCAAAAATCTATCAGGTGTAAATTTGGAGGAACAGGTGTTAAAGGGTTAGGACACATTCAGTTTATACTTGATCATATTTGGTCACATAAGTATTTGTGATGACATTTTTATTTAGTTTGAAGTTATGTGACTAAAAAAAACAGATAGTTACAGCTGTATACAAGGATAACATGCTGATTAAAACAAAAAGAAACATTTGGTCATAAAATGGACACAGTTCATTTTGTAAAATTTTCTTAAATAATCAGTCATGATCTCAAATCAATAATCAAATCAGGGCTGGAGTGAATTGTTCCATCCTGAGTTAAGTCTTGCTTCCTTTCTCTTCTCCTTACCTTGATCTCCCCGGTTACCAGCATGGAATGGAGGCGTGTCTCTATCTGGAAGATGCTCCACCCTCTTTTGGCCACAAACTCTGGAGTCAGGATGATGATCAGACGTCGGCTCTGCTCCACACTGCGGGCCAGGTCTTCGATGTAGGCTGACAGACAGAAACCAGGGCACAGAAAAAGGGACAAAAAGATGAATAAAACAGAGATCATTGTTTTCCATGCACTGTGAAAAYCAACACACACTGCTGTTAGTGTTGTTTTTTTACACTCCACTAGGGGGCACATCAGAAAACATGGATCTTCTAAATGCAACAGAGATTATTTCATATTGTTTCCTGTTTGTCGACATAAACGGTGCAGACTTGCAAGGCACCAATTGGTTAACTTCAAAATGCATTTTGTAAACAAACAAAAAATGGAGGAGACAAAAAAATCAAACAAGACTCTAATCAAGTGAAAAGACCCTGAACCCAGACCAGAGGTCATTCTGTGTGTTACAGGAGTTTCAGAGAAACTACGAGACTTATGGTGCTGACTGCAGGTCTGATCATAGCAGWCAGGACCTTCTGATAAATCACAGGAGACTGTCCATCTGTTGACTGCAGGCAGAAAATTACAGCAAAGTGAGTTAATGTTTCAGTCCATGAATCAAAGTCCTGAGGACAGTACATCTCTGAAGACAGTTGTTAAAACTCGGCGCAGAAAACACAGGAAGCAGAAAGTCTGTTTTGATTAAACAACCAAGGACAACTGAGATTGAAAAAAGGATCTGCAATTCTAGCAAAATCTGTGATCTGCTTTTGAATGGAGAGCATATTTTTACTTTTTATTTTAATTTTCTGAAGGTAAAACTGTCTCGTAGCTTGGGACAAATATCTTTAGGGACAAATAGACATTTATTTCAAATTCTTCCAAACGGGACTCATCTTKTTTATTAGGAGTAGATTTAATAACATTGACCAGGACCAAGTCTAAGGTAATAATAAAGAGCTCTTTGCTCTTAATGTTATGTAAATTTCTAATTTACAGCTATGTGGTGTYCGCTTCAGCAGATAGATTTCAGCCTCTTACATCAGAATGTAATTAGCCTAGTTTAGTTAAAAAAAAACAGAAACAGAAGAGAAAGGAGCTTGGCCCACCCTGAGCAGGATAGTATTTCTACACAACGTCTGTTCAGACTACAGACATGGAGCAAGTCAAGAGGAAACTGACTGATTTTACCTTTTTCAGTCCATTTCCTGTTAGTTWTTTGCAGCGTTCTGAGTGTTGTTTTTGTGAAGCAGCTCATTATTTGCTTCTGAAAACTGTGAACAACTGATTCCCTCCTCGTGTGTGTGTCTCCTCTCCGACTCTTCACTTCTCACTAAATTAATGACACAGCCTCTCCAACAACACATGGCAATTTCACGCTCAATTAGAGAGGCACAAATAGTACAGAACACCCACCGAATTCAGCCTGCGCTTTTCTTACGTCTCTGCTCCTTCCTGTCCTGTGCCCTCACCTTCCCTGTTCCCCCCCGCTCTCTAGTTGTGAACATTATGTTCATCAATAAGAAAACAACACAAACCAGTGAGCCTCTGCTTGCTGTTGTTGTTTATTTTGTTTATTGTGAGACTAAGTGGAGTGGATAATTGAATGGTGTGGTTAAGGTCGTCACTGCGCTGCTCTGCCAGAGGCTTCAGAGAGCAATAAAGACACGTCCATCTCCCTCCATGTTCCTCTGTCAGTGTGTACACTCACCAGACTGTGTGTGTGTGTGTGGTGTGTGTGTGTGTGTGTGTGTG